TATATAAGACTTTATTAATAAATCTCTAGAATAATACTAGGGTTCTAGTAAATCTAAATAATATTATTAAGAATTTAAATAGGCTTAATTAAATTTAAAAAGTAGTAAAATATTCTTATTCTTTCTTAATCTATAGATTATTAAAAGTAAAAATAATATTAATTTTTAAGAAATATCTTATTTCTTTTAGATTATTTAGTATCTTTTTTATTAATAGTAATAAATAATAATCTTTTATAATAATTATATTTAGAATTTAATAGTCTATATAAAATTATAAACTTTTTTTAGATTTTTTTATAAATAAGATAAAAAATATAATAAAAAAAAAATTAGAGTAAATAAAATTTTTTCTTAAATTTTTTTTAATTTATTTCTTTAAAATTTTTAGTTTATCTTAAGATATATTATATAAGCTTTTAAAAAATAAGGTTTTTCTAGATAGTAATTTAATCTTATAATTATTAGATTAGTAAAGTAGCAGGTACTTAGCTTTCTTTAATAAAAATATATTATAAAATTTAATAAATTTAGGGAATAATTATTCTTATAACTTAAATTTAGTAATAATAATAGGATTTAGAGTAGCTTTAATATTAGTAATAATAATAGTAAATATCTAGTATTTATAATAGGTATATATAATATAAATAGTAATTAAGACTCTAATAATATTTTAGTTCTTTAGAAGTTTAGGGCAGGAGTTAAGATATTAAGAAGAAGCTTTTAATAATATATTATATAATATTAAAATCTTTATAAACTTTAGAAGTATATTATAGTACTTCTTATAATAAGGGCTTTTAAATAAAATAATATAATTAATAAATTTAATCTAGAGATTATAGATCTTTAACTAAAATAAATTAAGAATAATAAGAAAGTATATAAATTAAATTATAAAAAAAATAGTATTTTTTTTAATATAGTTATAAATTTTTTAAATTAAATAAATAAAATAAATAATATAATTAAATTTTACTAGAGTATTATTAAATTCTCTTAATAAAATAAGATTTTTTAATAATAATATTTCTAATTAATTATCTATAATTTAATTATAATTTATAAAATATTTACTCTTAACTCTAGAGTTAATTATAATAAAGATTAGTAAAGTTTTATTAAGAATTTCTAGATTAATAAATAAGATTATTAATTTAAATTAGTAATTTTTTTCTTCTACTATTATTCTAGTTATTATAGTCTTTAATAAGTAAAGGAAGTACTAGAAATATTCCTAATTATAGTTTAGGTTAGGAATACTTTATTTTTTAATTTAGAAAATATAAGATATTTAATAGGTAGGATTTTAGTTAATAGGGAGTATAAGTCTAGTTTAGTAATAAATATAAAGATATAGCTAATTAATCTTTAGTTAAGGTATAAGTAACTACCTACTAGATAGTTAGTACTACTATAGTAGTAATATAAGTATTAAATTTAATAATTAAGGTAATAAGTAATAAATAGATCTATTAGGTCTTTAGTAGGAATAGTAATAATAATAGGATTAATAAAGATTATAAGAATTTAGATAGTAAAAGTTAATTTTAAAATAGGTTAGAAAGGCTAGGAATTCTTTATAAATAAAAATAAAATAATACTTATATAATAATAATAGTAATTTTCTAGATTTTATAGATAATTAATAAAGTTATAATATTATAATAGAGCTTTAAAATATATTAATATTTTTTAAAATTTTTAATTAATAGCCTATTTTAAAATTATAAGTAAGATATCTTTATTTATATTTTTTTCTAATATAAGATATTAGAATTTAGTAAAAAAAATATTAAATTTATAATAAATTTATTAAAAATAGAATAGATTAGTATAAATATTAACTTTTAAATTTAGATTTTTAAAAGCTTTCTTTAAGATTTCTAAAATCTTAATATAATTATTTAGTTTATAGATTTTATCTTAAATATATAATAAGATTTAGATATATAGAATTTCTTTAAGATAACTAGTTATATAAGCTATTCTATTATTTAAGGTTAGAAAATAATCAAGATTTATAATTATTTTCTAATAAATTTAAGAAGTAAAGTATCTTAAATTACTTTATTAGCTATTAAACTTATTAGAGTTAGAAAATTATTTAAAGATTTAGATAATAAGAATAAATATAATAAAAATAATAATAATAATAAAAAGAATAATAATATTAATATTTCTTTTAAAAAAAGATAATAATTAAAAAAATATATTATTTTAAGCAAGTACTTTAAATAGCTTTTATTAGATTTTTTTAGCTTATATCTTCTAGTACTTAATTATACTATTTTTTTATTAAATATAGTTAAGAAGATTAGTAATAATAAAGTATAAAATAAATAATTTATAAAATTCTTCTATAATAATAATAAAAAATTAGTATATTTTAATAATATATTATCTTAATTTATTAAGAGTATTATATAGGAAGGTTTCTATACTTTTAGATAATATAGGTAGTAAGATAGATATAATAGTAGTAATTAACTCCTAGTAAAGAGAAGCTATATAATATTAAGGAATAAAGTTAGATTTAGATATTTATTAATTAGGAGCTAATTAAATAGAATAGTAGAATAATAAATATTAGATAATAGATAGAATATAGCTTAAAGAGCTATAATAGGATTAAGAATAATATAGCTTAAATACAGGAATAAGGGTAGATAGTCAAGGCAGAATCTAACTAGATAGGTACTACGGCTTCGCGCTGTGACACTAATTATCAATATAATAAGTCTATTAATATAGTAAGCATGATTACTACCTTATTTAGAACTAAAAATAGAATATTATTATCTAAGATAGTATATTTAATTATCTTATTTATTACTATCTTATAAATATATTAATTTTTTAAATTAAAATAAATTCCTAATTCTATCTTTATTCTTTCTACTAGTATCAGGTTATATAATATATTTAGATTCTAAAAATATTCTATTTAGTATAATATTAAAGTACTATTATCTAATTTAAATTAAATTATTATTTTTCTATAATCTTAAGAATATATTATCTTATTATTAGAGATAATAAAACTATAATTCTTAAAATTATCTAAGTCTTTAATTAAGTTATTAAAGAGATTATAATTATTATATACTATATAGCTTACTCTAGAGTTATATAGTTATTTATTCCTAAAAATAATTAATATTAAAACTATTAGTATATTAACTCTAGATAGTATAAAATTATTAATATCTAGAATAGTATTAACTTATATAGTTAGACTAATTTAACTTTAGGTTAAATTATTTTTATTCTTTAACTTAAGTAGCTTAAAATACTAAAGTATAGAAGTTAGCCTCTACTCTTTCTTCTACTTATTAATTATTAAATATAGGTAGTTATTAATATTATATTTTTTTTTCTTATAAAATAAGTATAGTATTCCTAATTTTCTAAATTATTTTAATTAGTAATTAATATAATTTATAATTATTATATTTTATAATAATATATATTTCTATTATTACTATTATCTTCTTCTATTATTTATTATTAATTAAGAATTTAGTATATTTATAATAGGTATAGTAGTATTAAATATAATATTAAATAATAGATTTTTCTAAACTTTATTCTTTATTATATTATATATAGTATAAAAATACTTTTATATAATTATTTTAATAAGATTATTATTTAAATTATTTAAGATTAAATTTATAAAACTTATATTATTTTTTTTTAAATTTCTAAAGTATTATAGTAACTACTTAATAAAATATAATAATTATTTTTAATTTATTAAAAATATTTATCTTCTAGATAAAGTTTAATATAAATTTATTAATAATTATATAATTTTTATATTTAATTTTAATAATTTTTCTTTAAATCTAATATATATATTTTTAATTATTATTAATAATTATTTTTTATAATTTTTATATAAAATTATTTATAAAAATATATAAAATAATATTTATTAATAATTTTTTTACTAATTTCTTATTTATTAAATATAATATCTAATTAATTATTATTTATAAAAAAAGTTTTTATAATTTATATTTAAAATTATTAAATTATAATTTAAGAATATTACTTTTAAAAAATTTATTTATTTTATAAAATTTTAACTTTATTTATATAAATAAAATCTAAATTTTAAATTTTAAATTATTTTTTAATACTATTATTAGACTTAAGTTAAATATACTATTCTTTAATTTTATTATTTAATTTTAACTATTAGTAAATAGGATAGTAGCTATTAAAAATAGGTATAATAAATTAGGAATATTAGAATATTTACTAGGAGTAGATTTAGTTATTATTTTAATTAAATTATAGAGATTTTTTATATACTATTATCTAGATAAAGTAATATAATAATAGTAAGTAATATATTTATTAAAATTTCTATCTAATTAGGTAGTAGATTTCTATATAAGAATATAGAAATATAATAAGAGTTTTTTAGAGATTTATAAAGTATAAAATAAAATCTTAAGAAAGGCTTATAACCTAATAAAGGTTATTAAACTATAATAATAGAAAATTAACTAAAATAAATTTAATTAGATCTAACTAAGAAAATAGAGAAGGAGAGATACTTAGAAGAAGTATAAAGATCTAGAAGGAAATAGTAGCCTAAATACATAAAATAGTCATGTGTTACTATCTTCTTCTTTATGGTGATGCTGCTTTATGGTGGTGCTAGTTGCATTCACTAAGTACAGCACTCCAACATATTATAAGGTAATCCACAGAAAATGATTCTTATGCTGCATCTGACAGTTCCCATCCCATCCCAGCTTTCTATAAAGACAGTCGTTAGTAATATCTGGCGCCAAGTTAACCGGGCACTTGCATTTGATTTTTTATCCATGGCCTCATACAAGGTACCTAAAATAGGACCCAGGCTCCATATAGGCATATACTACCTAGAGTTTATGATTGGTTTGCCCCACTTTCTTTGTGTTGGTCAGAAATAGGTTGCCAGGAGTTTCTGATCATCCTGTTCCTCTCTTAGCTGGAATGTTGGATTAATTATTGGAACCCGCCAGGGCAGGTGCAAAGGGAAACCAGTCTAGATATGCGTTGCTATTGCCTTTGGAATCCATTAACCAAACCAAAATCCGGCAGCTGGGTTAGGTATTTTTCCCCTTCTCTCATTTGGAAACAGTCGACCGCTCGAAGTCCCCCAGCCCGTTCCGCATTATCCACCATGTCAGCAAAATCCCCCCCGGCCGACCTCCCAATCCACGACTTTCCCTCCGCTCGCGACTTGGAAGCATTCTTAGAAACCGAGCACAGCAAAATTCCTGGGTTTTATTTGAAGCTTGCTAAGAAATCCTCGGGGATCACCTCCGTCTCGGCCAGTGAGGCGGTGGAAGTCGCCCTGTGTTTTGGCTGGATTGACGGGCGCTCCAATGCGTATGACCACGACTGGTGGCTCGTGCGGTACACTCCGCGTAGGACGAAAAGCCTCTGGTCCCAGAAGAATGTTACCACTGCCCAGCAATTGATTGCGGATGGCCGGGTTCGCCCCGCAGGCATGATAGCCATACAAGCGGCTCAGGCTGATGGGCGCTGGGATCGCGCTTATGACGGACCTGCTTCCATCACTATACCGGCTGATCTTGCCGCAGCATTCACAACTGATCAGGCAGCGCACGGTTTTTTTGAAACCTTAAACCGAACTGATCGTTATACTGTGTTGCATCGGCTGCAGACCACAAGTCCGGCGCAGAGAGCAAGGCGCATTGAAGCACTGGTAAAGTCGTTGGCCAAGGGGGAAATCTTGTCCAAATTGCCCGCGAGTAAGGTCAAGGGCAATATGAAGGAAAGGCACAAGGGTGGGATAACAAAGCATACAGAAGCTTCCAAGTCTTCCAGACGTTCTAAAGATCGCCCCCAGAGTCTTTCCATGCGAGAATTGCGTCCTCGCAAACCCCGTTCTTCGAGTTCCTGAGGTCGTTTCCTCCATGAATTATTTCCAGCACAGCACTCGCAATATTCCTTCTTAGAACAATTCCTCATTGCTACGAATCCAACCCCTCGTACGTAGCTCATGTTTCCTAGTCACCAATGATACAAGTTCGATTTTTTGCCGGCATATACCTTGTCTTTAGCGCTTAGTTCTCAGCAATGTACCCCTGATCGCATATTCCTACATTTTTTGGGACCTATGAGAGACCCAGCCAGAGCACTAGTCAGTTTATTTAGACCCCCGCGAACATCTTCCCTTTATTCAAGGCCACGGATATTCAATGTCCGAGTTCGAAGGTCATTAAACCAATCCTGATAAAGAGATCCAATGGCAGCTACAGATAAAACCTCTATATTCTCCTTTGCACTTGTCCTTCGATATTCTGCGATCCATACAATAGCAATGATAAAGTATTATCAAAGTTTAAAATAAGTTAGCTTGGTCATATTTCTAATGATATTATGTTAGTTTATATCACCCATTATAAGTCCTCTGTGCTAATACTGTGCACTGTAGTAGACTGCGTAGAGATATTCTTGAACCCTAAAACTATTCTTCATCCGCAGTCTTCACGGATCAGCTGTAGATTTGAAGCCCGAAAAGCTCGAATGACTGTAGTTGTCATAGGCAAGTGGAGACATTTGTTATTTGTATTTTCATATTAAGCATTGCTTTTGAGTATATGATTAGGTAGAGTGGTCCCTATATTTAATGGCATAATCTTAATCACAACTCTCACACCCGAGTGAACTATTTGATATACTCATTTCGATATTTTAGGGTGATACAGACAATATTAAAAGGGGCCTTTTAACTCCTTTGGGGGATTATCCTGCAGTATTCCATGGCAAATGTTTAAATCCCAGTTACAACAACTAGCTATTTAAAATAGTTTCTTCAATGCCTGCCAATAATAGTTATAAAAACGCTCAGTGACAAAGCAATATATATCTGGTCTACCCGGGTTAGGAAGGATGTGATGAAGTGAATCCGACAGCTTTTAATTTCTAGATGCAGGAATGTGTTCAGAAATATAGGTTTTCTCAAAGAGGGCTGTAGTCTTCGTGGATGTCTCGCTGTCCCTGGGAAGTCTCGAAACACCTATTTCACTCATAAATAGGTCGAGAGTATACATATCTGGAACGCTGAGATTGATAGGAGAAATTATACGAATCGACCGTTGGCAGGGCGTTGGGTACTTGCGTCTTCCGAGCGGAACGAGGTAGTCTGAATACGCGAGAATCGTTCTAATGGAAGCAATTTTCCCACGGCGAAGGATCGCATATCAACCTTGTTTTGGCGGTGAATACAGTACGGGCCGGCTTTGGTCTCTTCACTTTAAGAAGAGATAGTGGAGAATTACCCGCCAACGCTCAAGCCACAAGCACGGCTTTGGGAAAGTATAACCTCGGCGGTAAGGGCGACAGTGGCAGACCTGTGCTTTAGTAAAGACGGTGAGAGGGACCCCGTACTCCGTACTGTAGATTAGCTTCGTCTAGTTTATCCTAGTGGTTCCTCCCCCTTTTTCATCCCAACAGTACTCTGTCCGAATCATCGATTCGAGTGGGAGATAATCTCACTGCCGGTTAACTCGTGGGCCTCGCCCTCACGATTATACACTACGCCTATTCTCTTAGTTTTACTTTTGGGGTATTGAGGAAGACATTGAGGTTCCTAAAATGTGGGCAATAGCTGCCACCCATATTTGTATTCTCTCTAAACGTCTATTAGGCTCGGAACTAACTGCAGGCCTTGTCATAAACAGCTAATTTCTTTGGCACCCCGTACAACTGCTGTATCTGCATCCCATACCTTGTAATCGAAGCTTCATGCTTAGATTAGGACCTCCTCAATCGAGGCAAGTGTTCCGTTCACAATGGCTCCAGCGTGGTGCCGGGCCACCAATCCATAGGCAAACTGGTACCTGGTCGCACAATAATGTTAGAATTACCGAGAATAACGAGCAGGGGGGATCTCTTAGAAAACTCACTGATCAAGGAAGGGAAGCAGTTGGGTCAGGCCAGGAGTGTTCCGCCAGTCTCGCATCAGATCGCAAACGATAGCGAAGAACCCCATCAGGGTGACGCCTGCCTTCTCCATTCGACGATTGGCATCCTCTGCCAGGCGGGCATCGAAAGTTCCACTAGCCTCGGTATTTGCATAGACTTCATAGCCCTCATCAACCAAGGAAAGGGCCAAGAAAGTAGTACCTTTCAATGGAGTTAGGTCAAATACTCCATCATAAAACGTAAGGCCGAGTAGGAAGTAGTTACTCACAGACTTCAGTGACAATGCCACCAATGATGAGCTGCTTCTTGCCTGTAGCCTTTACCGCCTTACGGAATTCGCTGTTGTCCCATGCATTGACTTCGCCCTGACGGCGGATAAGGGTCGTGTTAGGGTACATCTCCCGGATCTCCTTGAGCATGAGGCCATTGGGACCCTCATCAGAAGATGTAGTCATCACCACTGGGATGTCAAACACGCTTCCCAAGGCAGCATGTGCCAGCATGTTGTTCCGGAAATCATTGGTACTGTAATCCCGAACCAGCTGGGAAAGTCCCACCTGGTGGTCAATAATAAGAAGGGCCTGAAATGATCGACAACACTCAGTCAATTCCTCTGTGCACCTTGGGACCTGTAGTAAAGCGGAGTCTACGGAGTACATACCGCGTTTTCTTTGTCCAGTCTGTTCCATGCTTGGACGGTGGTAGAGGCAGCCAGGACAAGGGCCGTCTGGAAGGCTTCGATAAAACGCATTTTGGACTACTGGTCGGAGGTGAGGAGATGTACCGGAGAGGTTGTTGCTGGATATCCTCTTTCCTCTAGATGTGTACGATCCTATTTATATTTCTGTCAAGATGGTCTCCTCAAGTCCTCCATACTCTTTGTCAGATCTTATAAAGTGTTTATTCATCACCAGCTAATAATTAGTTTCTTCAAAGGTAGTTGATACATCTGCATTGCTCTGCCTTGAGTCCAGGTGCATGGGGAAATGACCGATACTAGTGGACAATCTTGGCATCTGGAGATGAGATCCTTCACTATGGTCAAATAAGGCTAGATCCCGGATAATCTGCCTATCAATAGAATTGGTCGACGGGACGGAGCAAGAAGCCCGCCTGTGTTATACTGTAATATACTTGTCGGACCAAATTGAATCTGACATTTTGGGGCCAGAACACCCTCGTGGCGGATGTTGCTATACTATAATTGCTCGGTCAGCTCTTACAGTATTCCCTCCCAAGTTCCTGGACTACCCTCCTCCGTACTCCGTATACCCCGTCGTGTGGCCGGAAAAGTTTGAGGGACATATTTCCGAGCCGTCCCTTAACTAACGTGCGCCAATTGTTTTTACTCCCCAGGACAGCTGCACCGAGATTGACTCCGGGCGCGCTAAGTACTAGTCGATAGGGTCGCCACTTGCAGATAGTAGTCTAATTCGCACTAATCGAGCTGGGTACGTTTCATGATTCGCAGAAATCCCCCCCTTCTACTTTAATGTCGAAATGACCAAAATGTTACAAAGAAGAATGGCGTCTTGGCAACATTGGGGGCCATATGTAGGTTTCATCACTTGAAAAGCAGAACCGAAATAATTGGTTTGAATGACACTTGATATGCGCGGAAACAGCCCCCCGCGCTGGTGACTGAATATGAAGGATTACCTACCAGGTACCTAAAAGCTACAGTAGAGCTAATTGGCTTTCAACCCTTGCCTCGACCAATTGCCCCTTTACCCCAAGATCCGTTCCCGATGCTAGAAAATTTGGTGGGAATCCGAACTGGGAAGTTGCCTCTAGAGAAATCATTGGGATGTTGGAAACCCCGCTGACAGGCTAGTGATCACTAAGGCCTTACTGCCAACACTGTCAGGGAAATATTACTTAGTTCGGCCAACTGAGTAATGAAGACGACCAAAATGGGTCTCACTCTGTATTAGCTATGGATTGTTGTATCTGATAATTTTGATGACCATGCATCTTGACCCTCACATCTAAACAAACTCCACGGGGAAAAAAAAAAAAAAAAGATTCGTTACAAATATAGCCGAATATTAACATTGATATTTCTTTCATCACTTTGGCTGCACCGGATATATCAAGACCCAACGCCTTCTTTATGTTCTTGCGGTTGGTCTTGCTTCTTTGCGGCATCCGCACTTTTATACCCATGTAACCCCGGACGAGTAAACTCGAATTCTTCAAAGACAGATAGCAAAGTTTGCATAATGATGAAAACCCGCGACTGTTTCATGCCTCTCTGCCAACAAGTAGAAGAGCAGCTTGTGGATATCATTTCAAGGAAATCATCTGTTGGTTGATCTTGTTGGACGATATCAGACATCAACCCAGTGATTTTTTGTTGCCACCTGCGTAACATCTCAACCTCCGTCTGTAATCGCCTTTTTTCTGTTTCCATATCAAGATATTTTCTCTGGATTTGTGCAAGACGCTCAGAAAACCTATCGTTCTCCGCCTGTAGTTTGTCCAGATTGCTGAGCAGCTGGGATTTTTCCTGCTCCTTTCGTTCGCGAAAGCGACGTTGAGCTTGACGATTCTGGGATCGCCGTTCAGTGTCCTAAACATGGAAATTAGCATGCTTTTTTGCCCACTGGGTAAACTTCTGCATCAACGCTACCTTGTGCCGCTGCATAAATTGCGAGCCGTCAGCAAGTTGCTGGGCAACCTCTGTTGCACCGCTGGGAATGGAGTCTCGGTTTATAGAAAGTTCCGGCATATGGGGTGATGATAAATTCGACGATGAAGATTGTGAGAAACCCTCATCGCTAGCTGGTGCAGCAGAGGTCGGGTGCTCTGATGAAAGATAATGCATGCTACCTGTCATGATTCGAGGCGAGCTACAACCCGAATTTTCTGGGAACATTGCATCCCAAGGCTTATTTCCCAGCCAGCAGTCACTCCCGAGAACCGTGGCCTGCCTTGAGTGTGTCTTGTCATGATGGCCAGAGAAGGAGGTCGTGTCCATGTCTTCCGCACAGAAGCAAGACCCAGTGTTTATTCCCTGGAAGATTTTCCCAGAATAGCCGGCGGAGAACGATGCTTCAGATTCGTCCATGATGTGTAAAGACAAAGAGCAAAGGGTCAGCTGTCCTGAGCTTTAATGACGGCAAAAGATGTGTTTCCCCGGCCTTCAACAGACCAAGTTGCACCCTGTGGACCACTTTAAATGCCATGCACGTTAGCATATACCAAGCATTCCGATTCACGACTAGAACCAAAATGGGAAGATCTCGAAATGATATAATTCACTGATGGAGACAATAGTTAGAGATGACGGGCTAGCTCAAAGCCTTGTTGCTTTGTAAGGTAATTTGAGATGAGTTTTCGGCGCTGTTCCGCTCCTCTGTATATACTAATCAGACACTAGCGGAACTCCAGGGTCCAAGATGCACCCAAGTCAACGGCTCAGCTATCAGATTGCTACAAGTGGGATCCATAACTTCCTTGTGCCAATGATAGTTTGGTGGTGGCTGTAGAAGGGGCCACGAGTAAGGTTGGCCCAAGAGGAAATTTAGCCAACTACGGAGAAACGTTACCATTATCCAATCATGGTAACCCATCATCCTACTGAAATTGGTTAGAAAAAGGAATCTGGTAGGCTCAAGCTCTGTTAGTTTGTGTTTAGCTTCGAGATTAATGCATCAGGCCACCGGGACGCAATTGCGCTATTAAAAGAACCCTCCCAGTCAACTACCAACAAGCCAACCAGAACCCGAGAGTCAAGTATTTTAACCCCATATTCCTATTCCAGCAATTTTTCAGTCCACAAAGTTGTCGGGATTCACATGGCATTTGGCGACCCACTTTAATTAAAAAAACAACCAAAAAAAGAAAAAAGAACTTTGGGGTCATAAGGAAGAGATTCTCCGCCAAAGGCCCTCGCAGTGGTCCGGAACTACTCCGTCCACCCAGACAAAGGTGTGAAGAAGGCCCATTAACTTGGGTAAGCTATTGACACTTAGATTGTGGCATAGGCGCCTCATGTACATGGTCAATTGGTTGGGACTGTTGGAGGCTCCGTCACCCATAGCGATCACTGCAATTGTTACGCACCACAGGAGCAATCGGCCGGGAACTTGTTCGTTCATGAGGCGATCGATCTTTGGATGGAGACGTTGGAGGATAGAATCTCGCAGTCCCTGGGACCGTGGGACTGGATAGGTGACATGAATAGCATACAAAATCACGCCAAGTCGGCAAGCGAGGTAGATTTCCCGGGACAATTCAGTCTCCCCAGAAGACCGCCCCCCGCAATCTAGAATCAGTTCTAGACGGTCGTTCTCGTCTGGCAAAGAAAACAAACGGTGGTGTACTAGGTTTCGGGTGTCCCCCATTAAGTCAAGCACAGCGGGGCTACACGTTTTCTCCGAATAAAACTGGATGACTTGAGAGAACTCCCCGATGTGTATAAACACTGAGACAATTTGCTGCCTTACAGGCGGCCAGATGTGCAAAAGCTCATAAAATCCCAACCCCGGGGTATCGTGTGGGAAACGCCCACGGTCGAGGTGAAATAGTAATAGTGGGGGGGGTAAATCCAGGCGTTTACCATCCACGCCTAGAATCGGGTAGACTGGCTTCTGTAACGTGTGGATTGCGTTCATCAGGCCCGAAATAGAAACCAACCAAGCCAGGGCAAAAGCCTGCAGCACCTCTATTCCTCCAAATCTCTGGATTATGTCCTGCACCACATTCCAGTGTAGTGGGTGGTAATCTCGGCTGCCGTAAAAGTCTAGGGCATGCAGGTTTTGAAAAGGGGGGCAGAAAGGACTAGGGTCCCGAAATACTTTTGTCATATACCTCTCATTGACGGCTAAGTAGAGGACGCACATCACGACTCCGTCTAGAGGGCTTGACCCCGAGATATTAGCCAGCTCCGCCTGCAAGCTCTTTAGAGCCAATCCTTTGAGCTGCAGCTGTTCTTTTGAATCTAACTGGGGCTCTCTCCCGTATGTGACACGCAGGACGTCCCGGTGGTATGATGATGCCCACAAAATCGCGTAGAGCTGTACATTGTTCTCAACAGGAAACACCCATGAGTGATAGCAATCGCCCGCATAACTCAATGGACGGAAATGTGGCCATATTACGGTTACCGCAAAATGCAGCAGCTCCTGCACTTTCAGCCCTGAGGCTACGGGATCTACAGGCAACAGGGGGTCATAGCTCCCTGTCCCAAGGGGTTGGGGACTCGGAACCCTGGAGGCTTGCCCACGGCTGGCGGGGGCAGATGGAGGAAGCAGCCCCCCACAAGTAGAACAGCCATCTCGGCCGGTGTCGCTACCGCGTGCAGGGTCGAGGGATTGTTCGTTCCTGGGCTTGATTGGGCGATAGCCTGATGCCTCTGCTGACGATTCGCTCTCCTGAGCGCAGGAACAGAAGGCTGGCGGGTCACCTTGTCCCTTTAAGATATGATCTAGCTTATCTGCCGCATCCTGACGTCTCTTGACTCGTCTTTCACTAAGTACGCGTCGAAGGAGGGTTGATCGAAGGTTACCGGACCGGTGGGCGTTAAAACTCGGACCACCCACAAACATAAATTTCGTCTGCGGACGGTCATGGTCTGATGACCGTGGTGGCATTTTCTCCCTTGGATCTGTGATCAGATAGCCATTTGGCTAAAACCGCCTCTTTTTAGTTCAAAAAACGAAGTTCATACTGACTGAAGCCACTTCTTGAATCGTCGTGACCATGCTCAACTTCATTACCCACCAAAAGATAGACGACGTGGCAGCCTTAGGAATCACTAGTATAAACATGTGATCTTATTTGGGTGTCGGATTTATGATATTCCGTTAGGGTAGCTAATTTGTGTGTGTGAAATTAAACTGGGGCTCAAGGAGCTTTTCAGTTCTACATTAGAAATATTTTCATATACCTAAGTATTGCTAATTAATTCAATAATTTCATTTGTCCCTAACATGAGAATATTATTCGGTTGGAATTAGGGTGGTGGATAACTGGTTGATTTACGGAGTTTCCCAAGGCATCGCACTAAAGTTACGTAGGTAATCTGACAATTTTTTGGTGTGACTATCCAGTAAAACTTGGTAAATTTTATAGATCTCTTGTATGTAAAGGTAAGGGTTTATTTATATAAGACCTGGCCTGCTTCAACTTCTGTTCCCCAATCTGCGCGAAAGATACCATTTGATATCAACCCTAACGGATTAATACCTTTAGTATAGTACATTACTCAAGTTGTCCACTTATAGGGTCTGCTGTCAGTTTGGAGTATGGCTCTTTTATCGTGCCATTGAATGTAGTGTGCTATACAAAACTCGCCATGATCACCATTACCTGGTAGCGGAATCCCCTCTCCAGAGACACCACCTTTCCGATATATATATTACTGGATACAAGGAACTTTCACAACATCAATTATGTCTACCACTCAACAATCTGCTTTGTGATTTTGTGCTGGTATTTTGGGGTTATATACCATATATTGTTGGAGTGCTGCACTCAGTGAATGCAACCAGCACCACCATAAAGCAGCATTACTATAAAGAAGAAGATAGTAATACATGACTACTCTATATATTTAAGCTACTATTTCCTTCTAGATCTCTATACTTCCTCCAAGCATCTCTCTATTTCCTAGTTAAACCTAATTAAATCTATTTTAGTTAATTCTCTACTATTATAGTTTAATAACCTCTTATTAGGTTATAAGCCCTCCTTAAGGTTCTATTTTATATTTTATAGATCTTTAAAAAACTCTTATTATACTCTTATTGTCACGGGGAGCAGGCGGGCAGTAGGTGTAGCTAACAGCAGGGTGTATATTCAGGCTATCTGCGTACAGGTACAACAGGTAGGGGTCAGGTCAGGACAAGGATGTAGCTTGAAGAGCTACAACAGGATTAGGGGCAACATAGCTTAAATATAGAAATAAAGGCGGATAGTTAGGGTAGAATCTAACTAGATAAGTATATAGCTATACTATAATAATATCCCCTTTCTTAGGCTAAGCTCTAGTAAAGTATTCCTAAGGTCTAGGCTTTTTAGGGTAGTAGTAATAATAAGTAATAATATATTTAGTAGTATTCTCTAGATAGCTAGTAAGAACTTTAGTAATAATAGGGTATCTAACCTACTTAATAGTATACTTTAAATATAGATAGCTATCTTAGCTATAGTAGTTTTAGTAGGAGTTAATTACTTCCTTAACCTCCTATTCCTTAATACTATTAACTTTAATATATAAGAGTTTAGTTTCCTCTTATTTAAGTAGTAAGTCTTTAATAATTAGGTATAATAATTTAATATAAAATACTAGATATATTTTTATATTCTTAAATAGGTCTAATTTATAAGTATAAGGGCTAATAACCCTCTTAATAAAAAAGGAGCCTAGATTTTTCTAGTCTAATTTTTTTTAAGAATATAGAATTATAATATTCTTAATATTTAATTAGATTAATTAATTCTTAATATAATATCTAGTAAGATAGTATTTCTAGTTAGTATAATATTTATAATAAGCTTAAGTAATAATTATAGTAATATAATAATATTCCTATATCTACTTTATAATTAGGGTAAATTAATAAGTATTATAAGTTTATAAGTAATAATTAAGTAGGATAGGCTTAAATCTTATATAAGGGTTAAAATTATATAAAGTAAAGAATAAGGAATATCTAGTAATCTTAAAATTAGTATTATTAGTAATAAATTCTACTATAGGTAATTATTTAGCCTAATTATTTTATAAATAGTTAATATAAACTTATAAATATTATTCTAAAATAATATTTATATATTTAATTTACTTATTAGTTTTAGAGTAATAAGTAGTAAATAAGAATAATCTTATTTTTAGAATATAATTTAGATATATCTAGAATATTAATATAAATTAGGATCCTTAATTAGATATAATAGACTTAAGGAATTTATAAAATCTCTAAATATAGTCTTAAAATAGGTAAGTAACTTTCTTAGTATTATAGGTATTATTATAGGAAATATAGTATTAAAACTTTATTAACTAGTTAACTATTATTATAATAGTATTAAAGCTTAAGCTTTAGGATAAATATATAATAAAATTAATAAATATATTTTTCTAGAGACTCTTAAATATAAATAAGGAATAGAGTATTTCTTAATATTTATTTTAATAAAATATAGATTATTTATAAATATAATAATTATAAATCTATTATTCTATAAATTATAGTATTCTAGGCTAGTAATATAATTATAATAGTAATTTATAAATTTTTAATCTATCTTAATAACTAGTAACTATACTTTTATAATATTTATATATTAGTTCTATCTTTAATTCTTTTATATTAAGGATATATAGTTAGTTATAATAAAATAGAAGTCTAGAATAATAAATATATTTAAATAATATAATTAATAAATAATAATTATAGTTTTTTTCTAGACTTTCTAGAATATTATTAGGGGCTAGATTTTATTTATAATCCTTATTTAGGTACTCTCTTAATTATTTAAGGAGCTAGATAGTCTCTTTTTCTTTAAATTTAAGTAGCTAGAAGTATATTAACTTCCTTCTAGTAATAGCTTAAAGCTAGATTAATTATAATATTTACTAGCTCTATAACTTCTCTAAATATTTAAGTAGGAAGCTTGCTAAATTTTCTCTTTTTAATATTATTTAACTCTAATATAGTAAGTATTTATCTCTCTTCTTAGGAAGATCCTGTAATCTCCTAATTAAGTTATCTAGTTTTACTTTATACTTACCTGGGTAATAGTTAATTATAAAGTTAAAGTAGGATAGAAATTTAAATTATTAGGCTTATTATTAATTTAGTATTTTAATTATTATAAAATATTCTAGATTTTTATAATTAATTATAATCTTAATTAGATACTAGTATTCTTCTAGTTCTAGAGTCTATTCTTTTAAATAATAGATAATTACTAGTAACTCCTTATTATATATCTTATAATTATATTTAGTTAGAGTTATTTTCTTTAAGTAAAATCCTACTAGATATAGAATTTTATTATTATTATATTATAATAACACTCTAGCAGATATAAAGTCTAAAATATTAATTTCTAAAATAGCTAGTTAGTCCTAATTAAAGGATCTTAATATTAGTTCTTTAATAAATTCTACTTTTAGTATTTTAAAAGTAGTCTAGTAAGTTAGAGTCTATAAAAATAGGGTTTTTTTCTTCTTTAAGGTAGTAATAGGTACAAGAATCTGTAAGAATCCTTTAATAAAGTATTAATAAAATCTAGTAAATTTTATAAAACTCTTAATATTAGTAACTATCTTAAGTAGCTTCTAATCTACTATAATCTTAATCTTCTTAAGATTCATATAAGTACCTTCTCTTTTAATAATAATATTTAGAAACTTAACTTCTAGCTAGTAAAATTTATATTTAAATATCTTTATATATAGATTATTATTTTTTAAGATTTATAATATTTATCTTAAGTATTTAGTATATTTTTTTCTTATATAGTTATAAATTAGAATATTATCTAGAAATATATTATAGAATATATCTATATACTATTATAGGATATTATTTATAAAATATTAGAAAATAGCTAGAATACTAGTTAGGCTAAATAGTATAACTAAAGACTTATATAGTCTAAAATAGGTTTAAAAAGTAATTAAGTACT